AAGCTTTGTTCACTTGCCCTAGGGAACTGGATTTTGCCTTCCCAGAATCCTCCTGATTAAGGGGTGTATACTCAGTGTTCTGTGAATCTGGAATGTTCCCTCTTGTGGTTACTTTAGGTAGCTGTGGGAGCTGGAGAGTAAGCCTGTACCCATACTGCTCCTGTGTTACCTCTCTAGAAGTGGTTCCTGGGGACCTAGCATCACAGAGCCTGCATATCTATGAATACCTTCTGTCCTCTGCTCTCCTCAATTCAAGAAGTTGAGAGGGCAGTTTGATGCATTCCTGGTGAAATGGACAGAGGCCCTGCCCCCAATACTGGCACGCGTGCACACACTCACACACACACAGACAGACACACACAGAGCTCCAGGGCTGTAAGCTCTAGGGTAGCCCAGAAGTCTACCTGGAAGGGGACTTCTGGTGCTAGAAGCACCAGAGCTGACGGCACCTGCTGTTCAAGGAGAATCCTCGGAACTCTTGGGTTAGACATTGGAGACTGTGTCCAAGGCCTGGGGCCAGTGTTTAACAGGGCTGTAAGACATCTGAAGATGGTATCCAAGGATGGTGGAGAGTGAAAATGAAGGGGGCAGGGCAATCATGCCTGAGCTAGAATTATATGCCAATACATTGCCTCAAACCAGATGAGCTGAAGCTACACAGAAGGTTTGGTTTATGTCTGTGCTGTCTGTGACTGCCTCTGACCAGCAGTGGAACCAGCAAACAGATCCCAAAGGTGGTTCCCCACTCTCCCCCAGGGGGCAGTTTGGGCACACTGGCTGTCACACAGAGAGGCTGAGTGGTGGCCCTTAGCCCTACCTGCAGCTACAGTGTGGCATGAAGAGTGTGTTGGGTGTTAAGAGGCCAGGCTCTTGGGAGTTGCACAGCTTTGCACACAGTCCAGCCTCTGAGAGTTTTCTGTGTCATAGTGGCAGAACTAAAACACTCAGCCAGTTTTTCCTTCTTTTTTTTGGGTCAGGTCATGGGGCCTGAACTCTGGGCCTGGGCGCTGTCCCTCAGCTCTTCAGCTCAAGGCTAGCGCTCTACCACTTGAGCCACAGCGCCACTTCCGGCTTTTTTCTTTTTGCTTATGTGGTGCTAAGGAATCGAACCCAGGGCCTCATGGATGCAAAGCAAGCGCTCTGCCACTGAGCCACCTTCCCAGCCCTCAGCCAGTTTTTCTGAGCGTCGCTAACCTTGGTCTGGTTGTCCTTCTCGGGGTTTCTGGAGCCACAGGGGAGGCCGCTGACTGGCCACGACTGTGCGCCACAGCCCTCCCTGATCTTCCTCTCGCCCTTCTCTTCCCGACTGTCCTGGCCTCCAGCTTAGCTGCCTCCAGTTCTACATGGGACCCTACAATGGGACGGCAGCGATGGTGCTCGAGGGCGGCTGCCTGGAGAACCCCAAGTATTACAACTACGTCGCCGTGCTGTCCCTCATCGCCACCATCATGCTGGTGCAGGTCAGCCACATGGTGAAGCTTACCCTCATGCTGCTCGTCACCGGGGCAGTGGCTGCCATCAACCTCTATGCCTGGTGTCCCGTCTTTGATGAATACGACCACAAACGCTTTCAGGAACATGAGTAAGATGAAACCTGGTTGGGGTCTGCAGGGTTTTCCCTCCCACTCCCACATTCCTCTTGTAAAGCCCTGGGTGCACACTGAGGTAGCTCTCTGCTCAGGCCTACCCGAGGCTCGCATGGGAGCCAGGGTTCACTGGCTGCTACAATCTGAGGGTCGGGTTGGGCCTGTCTTTCTCTGAGTGAAGATTTGGGACACCTCAGTGTTGGGTGGGGCACCAGCCTCTTGTCCCCAGATGTGGTCAGGTTGTGCTGTTACCCTTCCACAGTTACCCGATGGTGGCCTTAGAGAAGATGCAGGTATCGTCCACCCCTGGGCTCAATGGCACTGACAGGTGAGAGCCACTGTGTTTCCTCTGAGTCTCTATTTTATCCCTGCTTCTAGATACATGGAATTCAACAGGCCAACATCCCAGGACCTCACCCTTCCGCAGGCGTGCAGTATGGGCTAGAGTGATCTAAGGTGTATAAGTCTGGGGAGTCGGTGTGGGTTTCTTTAGGACTGGGGAAGAGGTGGAGTGTAGGATGGACCCGAACAGCCAGGTCTCCTGCACTGAAGACATTGAAGCTCACAGAGCAAGGCAGTGTGGGTAGGGAGTGGAGTGAAGCGGCCTGATGGGGATAAGGACAGCGTGGGGAGGACAGCGGGACTGGCCGGCAGATGAGTGGCAGGAAGGTGATGAGGAGCATCTTCAGGGGCAGGTCTATCTTCCTGAGTCGGTTTCAGCTCTTGAAGTGGATGCTGAAGTAGAAGTTCTCTAAGGTCTCTTTTCTCTGGGAAGTTTTAGATTTTTAAGAGTCAGTCAGTTGAAAAGATCTTCAATCCAGGTGATGGTGGCCCACACCTAGAATCCTGGCTATTCAAGAGGCTGAGATCTGAGGATCACGGTTCTAAGCCAGCCACGGCAGGAAAGTCTGTGAGCCTTATCTCCAATCAGCCACCAGAAAACTGGAAATGGAGCCCTGGCTCAAAGTAGTAGAGTGCTCGCCTTGAGCAAAAAAGCTCAGGAACAGTGCCCAGGCTCACCCTGAATTCAAGCTACATGACCAACAAAGTAATAATAATCTTCAAGTAAGTTAAGCAAAGATTAGTTTATAGAGGATGAAAGATATGACTCATCCCTTCAAAATGTAAGTGGTATAAATGACCACTATTTCAAGGTATTGAAATAGTCAAGGGGGAATGCAAGTTAAAACTATATCAAAACACCACTGCAAACTTGTTTGACAAAAACCTTAGGACTGGTGTCAATTTCACAATAACTCACACATTCCTGTTGACAGTACAAGTTGGAAAACAATTGGCGGTTATTTACCTTTCAGGCAGGCAGTGGCAGGACACATCAGTAACCCCAGCTAGGCAGGAGGCATAGGTAGAAGGATGGAGGTTATGGTCCAAGACCAACCCTGGGCAGACATGAGACCCTCTGTGAAAAACAAAGCAAAAAAGGATCTGGAGGCATAGCTCAAGTGACAGAGCTCCTTCCTAACAAATGTGAAGCTCTGAGTTAAAACTAGATTCATAGGAAGGGGGCGGGGGAGGAGGCACAGAGGAAAGGAAAGAAGGGAAACATGACTTAGTCATTCCATTTCTGTATATCTCTGTATACATGTTCATGCTCATGTATATGTGTAAGAGTGTCGATAGTAACACTGGGGGCTGGGAAGGTGGCTCAGTGGTAGGGCGCTTGCCTTGCATGCATGAGGCCCTGGGTTCGATTCCTCAGCACCACATAAGCAAAAAGAAAAAAGCTGAAGTGGCGCTGTGGCTCAAGTGGTAGAGCGCTAGCCTTGAGCCAAAGAGCTCAGGGACAGCGTTCAGGCCCCACAACCGGACCCAAAAAACAAACACTTCATAATACACAAAAGCCAAATGGAAGTGACCCAAATGACATCAGCAAATGAATATCTAAATGGTGGCATTCTCATATGGTAGAATATAAGACTATAACAGAAATGAGCCTTAGCCTCACACAAATACGGCCGGAAGCTGGAAAGGACGTGTGAGCGTGGGCCCTGGCCCACCGCTGTGAACCCCGACACTGATGTCAGTCTCCCTTCCCTAGAATCCGATGTGGATGTAGCTACTTCTGGGATCAGTTCAGTGCTGCAGTGGTTATTGAGCATCTGTGAGCAGCCCTGATATGAAACATTCCTCTCCCCTCACCCCAGCAGAGACTAGGACTGGCTGGCTGTGAGAAGCCCAATGGCCTAAGAAAGCCCTGCTGTCCTGGGGGAGTCTGGTCTGGTCTTAATGCAAAGGGGTGGAGCTTAAGGTGACAGGAAACAGCACAAGCCAGTCAGGAGAATCTAATGTCCTTCATGAAGACGGCATGGTGCCCATTCAGCTTGTTCCTGTTTGTTCAGCAGGCTGCCCCTGGTGCCTTCTAAGTACTCCATGACAGTAATGATGGTCATCATGATGCTGAGCTTCTACTACTTTTCCCGCCACGTGAGTGTCACCCACCTTCCTCTCTTACCCTGCCCATCCCCACCAGGGCCTCCCAAGAACAGTCCCAGGAGCCTAGAGCCCTGAGGCTCAAGGTTTGGAGCCAGCTTGGGTAATCTGAGACTCTTTTATCCAATTAACTAGCAAAAAGCTGGAAGTAGAATATGGCTCAAGTGGTAGAGTGCCAGCTTTCAGTGAAAAAGTCAAGGGAGGCTGTAAGGCCCTGAATTCAAGCCTCAGTACCAGCACAGAAGGGAAAGAAAGTACAAGGGGCTGGGCACCGGTGGCTCACTCCTGTAATCCTGGCTCCTCAGGAGGCTGAGGATCAAGGTTCAAAGCCAGCCTAGGCAGGAAAGTCCGTGAGACTCATCTCCAGTCAACCATCAGAAAACCAGAAGTGTCAAGTGGTAGAGCACTTGAGCTGAAGAGCTCAGGTACAGTGCCTAGGCCCTGAGTTCAAGCCCCATGACCCCCTCGGCCCTCCCCACCACCAAAAAAAAAGTAAAAGGGAGTTAATGTACAGGAAGTCCCCACATAAACCTTGATATTAGCTTGGGTGCCCCCTAGTGGTTAGCCTGGGGAAGCACAGCCTTCCTAAGCCATTTATCAGCCAAAAGGAGCTGCAGGAAATGGAGATTCCATGTGGAGCTGGGAAATCCCTCTGCCTCTTTTCTTCCACAGATCTGCAGCTAAAATTAGGTCCTGGGAGGCCTCATGCATCCTGAGGCCTCCTGGGTCTTGGCTGTACTCAGAGGCGGGGGCCCTCACTGCAGCTGCAGGTGGCATCTTCATTAGATGAATCCTCTCAGGGTCTTCCTTTCCTTGCCATTCAGCCATCTTTCTTCCAGTTTTCCATTTCCGTTCATCCTTCCATCAATCATCTTTAAACCATATGCCTTATCTGTGCCCTTATCTATGTAGGTGGAAAAACTAGCACGCACATTGTTCTTGTGGAAGATCGAGGTCCATGACCAGAAGGAACGTGTCTATGAGATGCGACGCTGGAATGAGGCACTGGTCACCAACATGTTGCCTGAGCATGTCGCACGCCATTTCCTGGGGTCCAAGAAGAGAGATGAGGTGAGGAGTGGGGCCACTGTTTTCATGTCCTGCCACGGGGTTGCAGGTAGACCCAGGTTTTCTTCTGAAATAAGGCTAGGCCCCAGCGAGGCCTGGTTCTAACCAGCAATGATATTAACAAAAGGATTTTCCAGGCCTCTGGAAAACTGTCTTTTAGCCACTGCCCATGTAGGCCTCATCTGTGAGCCCCACTTTAAATAAGGCCTCTTCATGGCCTCCCTTTCTATCAATGTGGCCGCCTCAAAACTGGGTAGTTCCCAGCTCTACTGAGCCATCTTCACACAGCTGGCCTGATAGAAGGACTAAAAGTTACTTTATTCAAAGTGGGGATGAATTGGTCTCTAATTATTCATTTAGACTAAACCTGAGAATGTACACATTGAATATGGGAAAGACAGATTCATTCCTATCAGGCAGCTGTCCTTCAAGTGCTTGTGCCCTGCCTCTCTTTTAGGAGCTGTACAGCCAGTCTTATGATGAGATTGGAGTCATGTTTGCTTCCCTGCCTAACTTTGCTGACTTCTACACTGAGGAGAGCATTAATAACGGTGGCATTGAGTGTCTGCGATTCCTCAATGAGATAATCTCTGACTTTGACTCTGTGAGTACTTTCCTGTCCCCTTCTTTCAAAGCCAGTAAATGCCCCCCCCCCACACACACCCATTACATCCCAAGATAGCCTGCAGAAGTTAAAAAGAAATGAGAATTAGCTGGGCTCTGGTGGCTGATGCCTGTAATCTTAGCTATTCTGGAGGCTGAGATCTAAGGACTCACAGTTTGAAGACAGCTCAGGAAGGAAAGTTCATGAAATTCTTATTTCCAATTAACCGCCAGAAAACTGGAAGTGGTACTGTGGCTCAAAGTGGTAGAGCACTACTAGTCTTGAGTTTAAAAAAAAACTCAGGAACAGTGCCCAGGCCTCAAGTTAAAGCCCCAGTAGTAGCACTAGAAAAATAATTACAGATTGGCTACCTTTCCCAAATGAATTTCTTGCCATCATACATGAACATTTCCTGGGTCTGAGGGTGGAGCTGGGAAATCTCCTGCAAATTCATAGGATAAACATGGGCCAAACAAGACCCTGAGATGCCTCCATTTTTCCTGCCCTTAGTCTCAGTAACTATGTAGTAAACTTGCATATAAGGAAAATACTTTTGCAGATATTCTCATTTACCTCAGAAGGCTGGCAATTTTACCTGTGTCAAGGTTCAATTTTCTCAGCTGAGCACCATGTGGCATACAGCGTAGAATAATTCAAGCTGTTGCAGGAGAGGCTCTCTTGGGTGCTTTGGGAGATCCTTGCAAACTGGCATGGTTGTTAGGTGGCTCATTTACCTCCCTCCATTCTGATCATTCTCTCCTTAATAATCCTGGCTTCAGCTGCTGGACAATCCCAAATTCCGCGTCATCACCAAGATCAAAACTATCGGTAGCACCTACATGGCGGCTTCAGGAGTCACCCCAGATGTTAACACCAATGGCTTTACCAGCTCCAGCAAGGTAACTGAACTTGAGAGGTAGCTAGCAAGGGACTCAAGTGGCTCAAGAGAAGATGCAGTTTTGCCTGGGAGTCTAAAGAAAATCCTGAGTATTGTTCCTAGTATTATTCACACAACCAGCACATGCAGCACTGAGGGACAGAGAACCAGAACACACATGAGCCATGCTACAGTGTTCCAGTGTAGGCCTAAGATGGTTTGTGCACACTGGGACTCTGTACTTTCCTAGGAACCTGTGTAATTCTAAAATAAGGGAAAACTTAAAGGGGACCCCACTGGCTGTTTTTTTGTTATGATGCAGACCCACGGAGCCTGCTTTACTCTCCAAGTCAGGAAATGAGCATGGGCCCTGGTACCACTGGGTGTTTCTAAAACATAGTCATACAACTATCTCATGATGCCAGTGTTCATGCCACTCCTTTCTAGACAAAGCTAAGGAAGCAGGTGGTAAGTGGGCTATCACCCTCAAATGCTTCTAATCTACTTGAGGAATCCAAACAAGGAGAGCCATACACAAATCTGAAGACCAGGCTCAGGGTGGTGAGAGCTAGATTTGCCCCGGGAGCTGTGTGAACTGTCACAGCTCACAGCTGACTGTGGGAGGAAGGTAAGGTCTCTCACCATGGTAGGTAGGGATCCCTCCCAGAGGGCTGCTGCAGGAAGGAAATGAGCAGGCTGCCTGGATGCTCCTGATGCTTTTGCCACTGCTTGACACAGGAGGAAAAGTCAGACAAGGAGCGCTGGCAGCACCTGGCCGACCTGGCTGACTTCGCCCTGGCCATGAAGGATACACTTACAAACATCAACAACCAGTCCTTCAACAACTTCATGCTGCGCATAGGTAAGGGCTCCCGCCTCTGTGCTGGGCAGATCAACAGGGAAGACCAGGAATGCTGGGAGCAGCTATGTGGGGAGAGTATCACACACACAGCTGGAGAGGACTGGAAGGGTCCTTAGTCTAGTCCCTTATAACTGATCAGATGGAAACCCTCAATGATAAAATGATGGAGTAGATCTGTCCCTACTGCTCAGTGACAGCCCCGCCTACCCTGGGAACCTAGGCAGGATTCTGCCTGCTGAAGGCCCTGCTCTTCTCAGACCAGCCTGTCCTTGAAAGGAGTTGATGTACCCCATACTGAGGAGGGGGCTCATTCCTTCTGAGTGAGGTCACAGAAACTTGAAGAACTAGGTGTATTATAAAGGTGGCAGCTGTTGGATATAGCTAATATTTGCCAAGGACTTGGTGAGGAAAGGATAAATGGAAGACAGGATGTTCCCTTTTCAGTAGCTTAGAGGCCACTTTTGAGGAGGTATATGGATGATGTAATCAAGAACCAGAGATCAGGTGACATTCTTCTGAGAGGAGTTTCTGAGGCAGAGTAATGCAAGGCTTGGAGCAGGGCGGTGCTGAATTGGATGCCTCTGCTCTAGGCATGAACAAGGGTGGGGTGCTGGCGGGAGTCATTGGAGCTCGGAAGCCACACTATGACATCTGGGGCAACACGGTCAACGTGGCCAGCAGGATGGAGTCCACGGGGGTCATGGGCAACATTCAGGTAAGTTCAGCAACAGGGCAGAGTGCATGCTCTAAGGCAGCAGTGGAAGAACACATGCTGTGCCATGACCACTAACCTCCTACTGTCCCAGAGCACTGAGCTAGCAATGCCGGAGAACAAGTCTTCAGCCCACTTCCAACATCCTAAGTGCTGCCCCTTTGTATGAACTTCCTGACAAGTACCAAGCAGCTGCTCTTAGCTGGGTCTGCCCATCTTTGGGAGGGTGGGGAGTTCTGAATCTGCCACCTTGGGCTCCGTGGCTGACTGGGACCTGTCCACCAAAGTGTTAGTGCTTCGGGATCCATTCTCAGTCCTGTCCACCTAAAGCCCCTCTACACACAGTGGTCTGGGCTCCTTCCTAACCCCCTGGCTCTCTCTGTTCTCCTGTGCAGGTGGTGGAAGAGACGCAGGTCATCCTCCGAGAGTATGGCTTTCGCTTTGTGAGGCGAGGTCCCATCTTCGTGAAGGGAAAGGGGGAGCTGCTGACCTTTTTCTTGAAGGGGCGGGACAGGCCAGCCACCTTCCCCAATGGCTCCTCGATCACACTGCCCCACCAGGTGGTAGACAACTCCTGAGTGGCCTCAGCCCCCGTGATGGATGGGCCACATAAGGGAAACCTGTTTCTGGAGGCAAGGAAAGCTTTTGGGAAAAGTTAAATGACCAAGTCCCGATGGTCTCAAATCGAAGTACACATTCCCATAGACTTTAGGTTTAAAAATCTCGAGCCTTCCTCTGTCCATGGATATGTGAGCTCGGAGGGCAGCCGCATGCCTCTGTGCCTGTAGCTTCCCCAGAGTAGGGGCTTAGGCATAGTAGTGGAACAGCCCTTCCAGAGCCCCAGCTCCAAGTCAGCCTTCTTCACCAAGTCAGGCCATGGCCACTGTGAGCAGGACACAGAGAAGCTGCGAGCAGCTTCCTTTGCTGCTGGCTGAAAGCATGGTGTGGGGGGAGGGGGTGCTGCTGAAGAGGAGGGCTCAGCAGGGCCCTGGTTGGAACTGATAGCAGTGCTTGCCACCCTGGAGATGCAGCGGTCTCCACACGGTACCAGTTAGGTTAAATGGCCCTCATCCTGATGTTCCTGATAATCTTGAAAGGTTCTTCTGGAACCCTTGTCACCTTAGATATGAGAGCAGAAAGTGCAATATTTCCTTTCACCTGGTGGGGGGAGGGAGGTTATTTCTGGAAGAAAAATATATAAACAGATCTCTACATTTATATTTTTAACCTGTTAAAACACTTTCCGATACTGCCTTGCCTTTTGAGCTCTTGCTACAGTCACCTTTGCTACTGCTTTAAAAGAGAATATACAGGTATTGATAAAGAACAGACTGTTTTATTAAAAGCTTTACTCAACTTGATGGGATCACTGTGATCATTCTGTTACCATGTTCGTTGAATGCTTGGCTGGCTCAAAGCATTAGCCCCCACCTCGTGCCTAGAAAGCAAGAACTTGAGCTGAGACTTCTCATTCTACATGGCTTTCTCCTAAAAGATGGTCCACACCTGTTTCCTGTGCTCTATACACTTCATAGAGTTGGCTGGAGGTCCTGCACAGTGCCTAATGATCATAAGATTTAGGAAGTGGTGTGAAGCCTCAGGCAGTAAATCTCCTATCTGTGCCTGGGCAAACAGGGATAGGAGTTGTAATGGGAGAACATGACCAGCCAGACAGGTTTTCACAGCTGTCAACTGGCCCTAAGCCAAGGAACAGTAAGTACTAGCATGGACAGGAAGGCCCACAGTCATACAAAAGGGCCTTGGCAATGGGGAGGAAGATTGGTTACTTCAGAAATGGAGACTTATAGACTTCTGTCTGAGCTGGTATTGAACTGAGATTCTCTAGATCTCAACCTCCTGAGTAGCCAGGATTACATGAGCAAGCCACTGGTGCCCAACTCACACTTACCCTTTTCTTTTGGGGGAGGGGGTGTGTCTGGTCATGGGGCCTGAATTCTGGGCCTGGGTGCTGCCCCTCAGCTCTTCAGCTCAAGGCTAGCGCTCTACCAGTTGAGTCACAGCACCGCTTCCAGCTTTTTTCTTATGTGGTGCTGGGGAATCGAACCCAGGGCCTCATGCATGCAAGGCAAGCGCTCTACCACTGAGCCACCTTCCCAGCCCCTTGCCCTTTTTCAACTATATGATCTACCTCATATCATGTGTCTGAGTGTCCTGGGTAATATAGAGGTTTGAGCTCAGAGTCTGTGTGTGTTAGGCAGACATCCACTTGAGCAATACTCCTAGCCCAAAATCTAGAGTCCTAAGAACTCTTAAGTCTTGGGCGGAAAAGCAAAGCTTCCCCCAAAAAGGAAAATACACTCTAGCCTTTCATAAGATGTTGTCTATCACTCCATAAACCATTCTAACTCTCAAGTAAAATACATGATCAAATTCATGTGGGTACCTAAGGACACGTGACTGTAAGCATTCTAATAAGCAAGGATTGTATCCAGGCATTCATGGAGAACTTCCAAAAATTCCAGTGTCTGGGGACTCATACTTGCTCATCATCCTGTTGAAGCAGGCTTCTACTCAAGGCTAGGATCGTTCCAGGTAAGGAGTGTGAGCCTTTGCTGGTTTTCAGCTCCAGACCCTTGAATCCAGTTTTTCTCCTTGTGAAAAGGAAGCAAACACCTGATGTATGGGCTTTGTGTAGAATAGTGTTTCATGGGATGCCCGATACTCTGCCTGCAAGGTAGACAGTGCCCCCATCCCTAAAAAAAAAAAAAAAAAAAAAAAGATTCCATCAGTCTTGTTTAGTGTAATCAAGGGAAACACTGGGTCACACTATTCTGGACCCATGTAATTTTGGTCTGGGTGGAGAGGCTGCCCCTAGAAGACCAATACAATTTTAAGACCAGGGAATTCATAAAACACAGCACTCAGAGACCTATGTTATGAACTCTTGGCAGCATCAACATGTCTGTCTCCTAAAAACATTTTATCCTATTTTTCACTATTGTCAAGGTCACCTGATCGTGGAACATTTAGCTGAAGTTAGAAAAATAAGCCTTTCTTAGTTAGCTCTAAACAAATTCCCATGTAGAAAATACACTCTGGAGAACTTGAAAACACTAACTTGCCCTGCCTATTTGGCTACATAGTAAAATGAGCTTCAGCTTCATTCATCACAGATGACTCTGACTCAGCCTTGCTTGTTTTTCTGCAAGAGGGGGCCTCCCATGAAAACAATTTATGAGCTGAAAGAAGTCAGGTAGAAGTAAGAGGTCAAGATGGGGGACCAGGCTAATTTTATTTACCATAAACAAAGAAGAAAGGAAAACCTATTTCTGGTATGTAAAGAGAAGAGTATCTCGATGTCCTCTAGACCCAGTCCACCTGCTTTGCTTATCCTACACAAAGCAGAGCATACCTCAATTCCTAGTTCCATTTAAGTAGCCTTCCTCTTACCTTGACAAGTAACTGTGACATCAGTTGGGAGAGTTCTTGTGAGGTCTTTATACAGCAATCTGGCGCAAAACAGCATGGACTGAGCCCCCGCTTTTTCTTTGTAAGTAAATGACAGCAGGTTGCACAGGGCGTTTCTCTGCAGTGGTCCAGCCAGGGAGGCTGCAAAGTCACTCTAGTGGGTGAGGAATAGAGCAAGTGCGTGGTGATTACAATGCAGGCAGTGGTTGTGGCACTTCACACAGGACTATCAAAAGAAGGCCATGAATTCAGAGAAATAAAAGGCCTAAAAAAGGACTAGTGTAAATGGATGGCCAGGGGTGTGAGTGGAGGGAGAATTTCATAAATTCACTGACACTATCATACAGTAAGATGTTTCATGTCTGCATTTGCCTAACAAATTTAACTGATAACTGGGAGCTTGTCTTTCCAAATGCATAGATGGAAAATGCTAAATTTAAATGAGCAACTTACACCCTATTTGCATTCATTTCCTGTCTCTATGGTTAGCTTACCTGCCACCCTATAAGAAAGCTGACCAGGGGCTGGGAAGGTGGCTCAGTGGTAGAGCGCTTGCCTTGCATGCCTGAGGCCCTGGGTTCGATTCCTCAGCACCACATAAGCAAAAAGAAAAAAGCCGGAAGTGGCGCTGTGGCTCAAGTGGTGGAGCACTAACCTTGAGCTGAAGAGCTGAGGGACAGCGCCCAGGCCCCACGACCGGGCCCCCTCCCCCCCCCCCCAAAAAAAGAAAAAGCTGACCAGAGATCAGGGGAGATGGATAGACAGCATCTGGTACTGTGTGTCTATACTGGTTTCCTTAGGGTAGATACTCTCAAAACCCACCAGATATTCTGAAAGTACATAATCCCTTAGCCAGGACCCACAACTCAACATCATCCTAAGTTTCAAAAGGGTAAGAAAGAAAAGGAATAGCAGTAAGAAACAAGAATTAGATAAAGGACAAACCTCTAGCTCCAAGTTAAGAATTATTTAAAATACAAAAGAAAACTGAAATTTGCTTTCCTTTGTGGCTCCTAAAACAAGGTATGGAAGTCCTATGCACACACCTGAAGTCGGTCGGCCTGGTACTTCCTCCCTGAGTATGCATTTAGGTACTCGCTGAGAGTGAAAAGGAAGCGCTGAATATCAGTCTGTAGGAGCTGTGCAGCTATCCTTTCCAGAGGAATGAAGGCTGGGACAGAATGGTGATGTATCCACAGTGGCTTCTGGATGACAAGATCCACAAAATAGGAATCCAGTAGGGTCCCCTCAAAGGCGGTGCTGATGCACACACAGACCCCGCGGCTGGTCAGCTTTCCACTGAGCCCTGAGCAAGACAGTGAGACAATACCTCAGCAGATGACCGGCAAAAAGCAGCACCTTACTCACTGAGTATCTAGCATCCTGCACAAAGTCTGGCATACAGACACTATCCACAAATGCTTCCCTCTCATCAAGACTGACTTATGGAAGGGGCTAAAAATGAAGACATCTTAAATATCAAATTATTGAGAAAAACATCTTGAAAGTTTCCGTTTACCCATTCTCTTTTTTTTTTTTTTTGAGTGTCAATTTGTGACAGTCTCCAGTTCTCCCCATAGCCCTCTCTTATGCACGTATGATCAAACACAGACCTAACAGGTTTAAACTATTTGATCAGTAGCATAAGGCAGGCTAGCAATAAAAAGGAAGTCTAAGCCAGGCGCCAGTGGCTCACGTCTATAATCCTAGCTACTCAGGAGGCTGAGATCTGAGGATCGCAGTTCAAAACCAGCCCAGGCAGGAAAGTCTTGAGACTCTTATTTCCAATTAACCATTAGAAAACGAAGTAGCATGGGCTGGGTGGCTCAGGGGTAGAGTGCTTGCCTTGCATGCATGAGGCCGTGGGTTCTATTCCTCAGTACCACATAAGCAGAAAAAGCCAGAAGTGGCGCTGTGGCTCAAGTGGTAGAGCACTACCCTTGAGCTGAAGAGCTGAGGGACAGCTCCCAGGCCCAGAGTTCAGCCCCCATGACTGTCAAAACAAAAAACGAAGTAACACTGTGGCTCAAGTGGTAGCTCACTACCCTTGAGCTGAAGAGCTGAGGGACAGCACCCAGGCCCAGAGTTCAAGCCCCATGACTGACCAGTACAAAAAAAAAGGAATATGTGAAGGGCCAGTCAGAAAGATGGCTACATCTTGAGAATAGGGGGTACAAACAAAAAAAAATCTCCTCTAAGCCCACACTAATAATAAATCTAGGGGGCTGGGAAGGTGGCTCAGTGGTAGAGCACTTGCCTTGAATGCCTGAGGCCCTAGGTTCGATTCCTCAGCACCACATAAGCAAAGAAAAAAAAAAAGCCGGAAGTGGCGCTGTGGCTCAAGTGGTAGAGCACTAGCCTTGAGCTGAAGAGCTGAGGGACAGCGCCCAGGCCCAGAGTTCAGGCCCCACGACTGGACCCAAAAATAAATAAATAAATAAATAAATTTAGCAAACTAGAATGAATCAGATCAGAAAGAATTATACCTGTAAACCGATATGCTTGCAGAATGGCAATCACATTTTCTCTCTGTCTTTTCAAAACTTCTTGTTCACTGACCTCCACTGTTCTGTCAGGTTCTACATTGGTAGATGTTTTAACCTGTAAGATAGATAGCAAATCAAACAGGCTACAAAGGGGAAATCACCAAGTTCCTGTCCTCATCTGACCCGACAAAAGCAAAATGCAGTTTTTTTTTTTATTATGTAATACAAAAAGACCTTTGTATTATTATGGCCATGCAGTTAGTGTATGCATTCACAGCAGAGAAGAGTCAGTAGGTCACACAGTGTAGGAATCAAATGTATAAACTGTGGACTGAAGAGCTAGGATTTGGGTGGGGATGGATGGGGAGAATTATGAGAACAGTAAGGAAAGTGTGTGATGAAAGTCTGGGACGAGCACAGGGCAGACAAAACAGATGGCTACAAAGCAACGCAGGAAAGCTGGATTGGGCCAGACTTCAGAGAGTTTCAAGCGCCAGGACTCTAAAAGTTGCACTTCCAGCTACAGCCCAGAAGGTGGTGTCAGGCTGCTCTTCCCTCTGATGACAACTATGCAATCTGGATAAAATACCAAAAAATCAAAGCAGCAAGCAAGCAAACAGAAAAAGGCCTGAAATTACTGGTGAGCAACCTAAATACTTCCAGGAGTGGAGAGCAAAGAAAAGGCTCTGATGTTAGATAGCTGTTCTGAGGCTTCCCCAGCATTTGCTAGTTTGCTAATTTGCATCTCAGTTTGCAAGAGGTCCATTACCAAAGCAGCTTTCTATGGGCCAAGATCCCAAGAAACCCGAGCCCAATACTCAGCATGCAATTTGCTCTCTTAACATCTGCTAATTGGTTCAATACTGCTCATATGTGACAAAAGTCTAAAAAGCTACACAGGCATCTGTGTTGCCAGGCAGAGTCCCTTTTCTTTTAGATCCCTTAAGGTTAGCCTGGGCACCTTTCCCCATTTACATGAATCATAAGAACTCTCATTTTTAATTTGGCCCTTTTGAGTTCCTATGGTTAGGTTAGTTCCTATTCCAATATAATATGGAGGCTGAAGATTTAAGCATAACCAACGGTCTTGAGTAATGTTGGGGTCTGAAGCATTTAAAAAGCTAAATATTGACTTTATCAGCAGCAGCAGAACTTCAGCGGAGTGATTACTATCACCAATACTGGTCTTATCTGGGGCAAAGGTGGTGGGAGTCCATGTTACTTACAGTTAGTTTATGATTTGTGCTTTTGCCCTATAAAAGCTAGACTGTAAGACTGGGAGGGGTCGCTCTCTCCATAGAGACAGCCCTGACCCTGACCGGTCAGTTTGATTCTCGGTGCTTGGCGTGGAATAAAGCTTTGCTTAACTTTCGCTTTGTGTCAGCCTTGTTCCTTTGATCACAGGCCTTATCACCGCTATTATTTAACGGCTCTCAGTGAGATTCCTTATGCTCTTCATGTATAGACTAAATGAATTTTGATATTATTTACCCTCCATCATGCTCCTTATTTCTCCTTCATTCTCATCCCCCGCAAAAGCCCTATAGTTATAACCAATTTACATACATATATATACATATATGTAAATTTGTATACATACATATTCTTTAAAGTCTAAAGTCTGCAACAGGCTTAGGTGTCTATGAAGAGACAGAGAGTATAATGAACCTTCCTGACCCATCACTAGTATCTGACATTTACTGATATTGATTCTCAACTACATTTATATAGGTCTGCTTATTTGAAGAATCAAAGATTTGAAATTGATCCAGTATGACTGAAAGTTTAGAAATGTAAAACAAGGGTCTGGGAAGGTGGCTCAGTGGTAGTGTGCTTGACTTGCATGCATGAGGCCCTGGGTTTGATTTCTCAGCACCGCATGCACAGAAAAAGCCGGAAGTAGTGCTGTAGCCCAAGTGGTAGAACGCTAGCCTTGAGCTGAAGAGCTCACAGACAGCGTCTAGGCCCAGAGCTCAAGCCCCACAACTGACCAAGTAAAACAAGCCATGCAAATTTACCAGTTCCCAGATCATGATTATTTTGTACACCTTAGGAAAGTCTCCCACATTACACTGTACTTACTCTGACTTGACGCAGCTTCACTTCAGCCCTCAGCTGGTCTCGACGATGCCTCAGTTCACGGATCTTGGTTCTAAGGGCACTTTCCTTGATCTGGGCTCTCCGAAGCACTTCAGATTTCTTCACTTGAGCCTCTAGTCTTTCCAAGTAAGCTAAAACACCTAAGTTAAAAAAAGGAACTTCGTAAGACAAAGTTTCTAATTCTGGCAACTGGCAGCATTTTAAGAATCAACAGAGGACTGGGCATTGGTGGCTTACACCTGTAAGCCTACTTACTCAGGAGGTTGAGGTTCAAGATTTGAAGTCAGCCCAGGGGAAATAAATCTGTGAGACTTTTATCTCCAATTAACAGCAAAAACCCAAAGTGAAGCTGTGGTTCAAGGGGCATGAACTGCAAAGCTAAGGAAGAGCAACAAGACCCCGAGGTCAAGCCCCAAACCTGGTACAAAAGAGGAAAAAAAGTTTTTTGGTTTTTTTTTTTTTCCTTCAGAACTCTGTGGCTAGCTGCAGACCACAGCTCCACTTCTGGCTTTTTGCAGGTTACTTGGCGATAAAGCTTAGGGACTTTCCTGTCTAGGCTGCCTCTGAACTGCAATCCTTAGATCTCAACCTTCTGAGTAGCTAGGATAACCAATATAAACCACCAGTATCCAGTTATATCATGTTTTTAATCCATAAAGTCACCAAACCAATTTGAAATCAATCTCAACCCAAATAGTGTTTATTATCTAAAGTGTCAGGTTAAGTTTTCTGAATACAGCTGACTCTCCATGACTTGCTGACTCAGAGGAAGAGGGCTCACCAGATTTCACTGACTCAGAAATCATCTAATCCTTACAAGTTAGTCACCAGGCTTGAAGAAGTATTAGGAGTATAAGACTAGAAAGGCACAATACCAAGAACTGTCCACAAAAAAATCTTTCTGGGCATTAACAAGAAAAGGTACAAAGCGGGCTGGGAAGGTGGCTCAGTGGTAGAGCGCTTGCCTTGCATGCCTGAGGCCCTGGGTTTGATTCCTCAGCACCACATAAGCAGGAAAAAAAAAGCCGGAAGTGGCACTGTAGCTCAAGTGGTAGAGTGCTAACCTTGAGCTGAAGGACAGCGCCCAGGCCCAGAGTTCAGGTCCCACGACCGGACACCCCCCCCCTCCAAAAAAAAAAAAAAGGTACAAAGAACCTCATTTTTGGACAGAAACATGAGGATAAATCTCAGTATTCAATTAACTAAGGACCAATACAGCAAAGGCTTTAATTTCATAAGGCTAATTGGTTCCAGTAAAAAAACATTTGGACATTTCCTAAATATTAGATATTTGTACAAGATGCTTTACTATTAAGCATGTAAAGGCATGCTATTTCCTATACATAGCACAAGCTATTTGACAACCACAGAAATATGTACCTAATATTCACGGTCACCACCACATGCTATCATTTACCTCCACTTATTTTCCAGCTGAAGAAACTGAGGCAGAGAACTAACTGTACAGTAACTTTCCCGGGGCCACAATCATTAAGGCTGAGCCAGGAATCGCCCAGGGCTATGCGACATTGAAGTCACTGGCCCACCGTGGGCCTCCCTCACAAGCACTGTATGAAAAGGTTTGGAAAGAGAATTTACTGGCTAGCACCGTCGCTCTGAACATCAACCCACATTATGGGTGCAACTTATCAGTTTCAAAAGGAGCAGCGGCCTGAAAAGCCTCGAAGCCACTTTTCCCTGTTGTGTGGCCTTGGTTCCAGACGTTAGTTCCGTTCACCCGCTGCTCCCGATCGGGGCTGGCCCTGCGTCAGGTGCGTGTGGTGAGGGGCGCCCCTCGGAATACCTCCTTTGGACTCGCCGTCCAGACGGAACGAATTCGCCGGCTCCATCTCTTCCTCCGAGTGTCCAGCGCGTTTCTATGAAGTCGTCCAGGTTAAGTGTGAGACCAGCTGTCCTTAATGGCAGAAGAAAACAGGAACACTGTCCCATACTCCCACTTAGACCCAGACAGGCTCCCGTGGGCCCCGGAAAACCCAAATGTCCCCATCGGGCCAGCCCCGGGTCCGGGCCAGCCGTGTCCACGTCCACCTTCCCGCCGCCCGGGAGCCCCCCGGCGCTGTGCCCTCTGCACACGGAAGGAGCCCTGCATAGCCGCGTGCCCCTCTACTGGGCCATGGCTCCGTCCAGCCCAGTTTCTCCGTACCTCGTCTCTTTCCCGGGAGAACTCCCGCCGTCCCCGCCTTCAAATTCAACCCGCCGCTCCCAGGGTGCTTTGCGCCCCCGCCGTACACAAACATGGCGGCGCCCAGGACCCCCCCCGACCCCGTCCCAGAATGCACCGGGGGCAAGTGCAGCCATCCGGACTGTCGGGAAGATGGCGTCCTCTGGGGCGGAGCTGCAGATCCTAGTACAGTATTTGGTGTTACGAAAAGATTTATCGAAGGCTCCGTTCTCCTGGCCCGCGGGAGCGTTGGTAGCGCAAGCTTGTCACGCTGCTACCGCAGCTTTACATCTTCACCGCGACCACCCGCACACCGCCGCCTACCTCCGGGAGCTGGGGCGCATGCGCAAGGTGGTCCTCGAGGTGAGGCCCCGGAGCGGAGGGGGCGGGACGCTGGGGACTTGGGCCCGGATGTGGGCGTGGTCGGGGGCCAAGGCCTCGGTGCGGAGTGGTGAGGGGAGAGGCCGAGAAGCCGCAAGTTCTAGGGCTTTGCTTCCCAGGACCCCTTCCCCCGGGCCGCGTCTCGGGCTGTTCACTAAGGCGCGCACGCATCCCGCCAGGCTCACCGGCAGCCGGTGGCGTCGGCGTCCAGCACACTGTGCTCTTGAGCTGAGGGTTCCTGGCCCAGCCTTTCTAGCGAGACTGTCAGCCCAGCAAACCAGCCCAGAAGAGCCGAGACGCAGTGTTTTATTGTCATGAGAGCAGCTCAAGGCCAACGAAACGCTCATTTACCTGGGCATGACGTCAGTTATTTTTAAGTGTTTTAATTTTCTTGTGCCGATCCCGGGGCTTGAACTCACGGCCCAGGCGCAATCCCAGAGCTTTTCTGCTTAAGATTGGCCTTCTACCACTTGCGCTACAGTTCCACTTCCAGCTTTTTGGTGCTCAAGGCAGATAAGTGTCTCAGACTTTCCTGCCCAAGCTGACCTCGAACCATGATCCTCAGATCTCAGCTTCCTGAGTAGTTACGATTACAGGTGTGAGTCTCCAGTGCCTGGGTCTATTTGAAAATGTTTTAGATGCTAGTATCAAGCGTAGCAACAGAAATACCAGGTACCAGTGGTGTAAATTGGTACACTTAGAATAATGGTAAGTTTCTTTCTTTTTGCAAATAGCCAGACAGATCTTATACTATGTCGATTCTACTGCTAGAAATCCCGTATCTCTTAAGAACATAATCAGATGCACTGAAAAAGCACAAAAATATTCATAGGGCCATTTTTTTTTTTTTTTAAGAGAGGGGCTGGAAATGTGGCTTAGTTGTAGAGTGCTTGCCTAGCATGCATGATGCAGTGGGTTCGATTCCTCCGTTCCACATAAACAGAAAAGGCTGGAAGGGGTGCAGTGGCTAAAGTGGTAGATTGCTAAGAAGCTCAGGGACAGTGCCCATACTCTGAGTTCAATCCCCAGGACTGGCAAACACACACACACACACACACGGGCACATGTTTGGCTGAGAATAGGGCTGAGAATGTGACTTAGTGGTAGAATGGGTTTGATTCCTCAGTACTATATATATAAACAGAAAAGGTTGGAAGTGGCTCTGTGGCCCAAGTGGTAGAGTGCCAGCCGTGAGTAAAAGAAGCTCAGGGACAGTGTCCAGGCCTTGAGTTCAAGCCCCAGGGCTGGCAAAAAAAAAAAGTGATAGCTTACATCGTAATCCAAACCACTCAGGAGATTGAGATATGTGGGTCCTGTTCCAATGCCAGCTTGGGCAGAAAAGTCCATATGAAGGGCTGGGAAGGTGGCTCAGTGGTAGAGCGCTTGCCTTGCATGCCTGAGGCCCTGGGTTCAATTCCTCAGCACCACATAAGCAAAAAGAAAAAAGCCGGAAGTGGCACTGTGTTTCAAGTGGTAGAGCGCTAGCCTTGAGCTGAAGAGCTGAGGGACAGCGCTCAAGCCCAGAGTTCAGGCCCCACGACTGCCCCCCCCCCCCCCCAAAAAAAGGAAAAGTCCATATGACTCCTATCTTCAGTTAATCAGTAAAAGTCTTTTCAGCAGTCAGCTCTCACTGTCAGAACTAGAAGAGGGATTAGGGATTGCTGTTGCAGGAACCTGTTGTAAGAGAACTGCAAAAGGTATGGAACAGGCTGGGCGTTGGTGGCTAACGCTAGCTACTCAGGAGGCTGAGATCCGAGGATCTCGGTTCAAAGCTAGCCTGGGTAGGAAAGGCCGTCAGACTTTTTTTTTTTTTTTTTTGTCGGTCATGGGGCTTGAACTCTCGGCTTGGGCGCTGCCCCTCAGCTCTACAGCTCAAAGCGAGCTCTCTACCACTTGAGCCATGGCGCCACTTCCAGGCCATAAGATTTTTATCTCCAATTAACCACCAGAAGAAAACTGGAGGTGGCTCAAGTGGTAGAGCTGAAGAGCTTAGGGACAGCGCCTAGGCCCAGAGTTCACACCCCACAACGGACAAAAAAAAAAAGGGGGTGGTAGCATAATTACTGACAACACTTGCAACAATATCTCAAGAGAGAGATGAGAAAAATCTCTGTTCTATAAACAAGACTATTCAGCCTCTCCCTCTCTGCCTTCTTCCCAGCACTCCCCACCCACATGTCTAAGACCCTGTGGAGGGAATGGCAAACCAGGGAATCAAACTTCATGTGGTAAAGCTGTTTCTGTAGTTTCAGTTAAAAGAGGCCTCTATCTTTGTATGGCCTTTTGTTGTTTCCTAGACCAACTGTCCAATCTGTGTGCTGTGTTCTACGCCTCCTAGGCCCCAGATGAGACCACACTGAAGGAGCTGGCTGAGACCCTGCAACAAAAGAACATTGACCATATGCTGTGGCTTGAACAGCCAGAGAACATCGCCACTTGCATAGCACTCCGGCCATATCCCAAGGAAGAAGTGAGCCAGTATTTGAAGAAGTTCCGATTGTTTAGATGATTGCTACTTTGGCATATGTGAATATCAGCTGGGTCTAAAAGTAGAATACCATCCATCCCAAAGCACCATGTGTTTCCTTTTAATGTTGACTTGCTTTTACCTCTCAATTACAACTGTCTCTTGAGAGTCGAAACACGTGTTTGGATTAAAATCATCATTAAGAATTTCCTATTATTATTACTAATAATAAGTTCAAGTTAGGTAAGCAGCAATATTATCTAAGGGTGATTGCCCAAATAGTAGATTTGGTTTGATTCCATTATGAGGGTCAAAAAACTCATTTAACATGATCATCTCCAGTTCCACCTATTTCCCTTCTCCCCTCTACTCGTGATTTTATCCTTTTTTTTTTTTTTCCCCATTGTGAGGCTTGAACTCAGGGCCTGAATGCTGTCTCTGAGCTCTTTTTCTCAAGGCCATGCTCTACCACTTGAGACACAACACCACTTCTGGGTTTTGGAGTGGTTAATGGAGATAAGAGTCTCACGGGGACTTTTCTGCCTGGGCTGGCTTCAAACCATGATCCTCAGATCTCAGCCTCCTGAGTAGCTAGGATTACAGGTGTGAGCCGCTGGCATCTGGCTTGATTTTATTCTTTATAACTGTGTGTGTGTGTGTGTGTATACATACATATATATATATATATATATAAATGTATATATACGCATGTCATGAGATACAGAGAAACCATATTTTGAGAGGTTGAATTGAGAGTCTTTATAGGAAAGTCGGTGTCAACAGGTAGACTCTTGTCACAGACCTGCAGCCCCACCAATACACTTAACACTGTTAGAAAACTGAGCCATGAGAGCTAGAGAGGAAAGAAAGCAGAAAAACAATACCAACAAACCAGATCAACTCCAATGGAGAGTGAAGTGGGACATCATGGTGACCAGAGGAGAACTCGGAGACAGGAGACATGAGGCATGGCATAATAGTGTCTGAGCTGGTCTGGACCTAAGTAGGGGCAGGGGCAGGGGGCAGGGTCACAGGAATCTCATAAATTTAAGGACAGGACTGACAGGTCCAGTAATCTAACATCCCAAGTCCCCACCCCTACCTCTTGAAATTTGGGCACACCCATCACCTGGGCAGGGGGGCAATGAAACTTCCCTGCCTTTACCATGAAGACAAGGTGATACCAGTGAAACCCAATTCCTTATCAACCACCATGTGGCCAAGACGATGCTGGTTAGACCCAGTCTCCTTATTTCAGTATGCCAATATCTCTATTGAATGATGACTAATTCCTTTGGGTATATATCCAGGAGTTGTATAGCTGGATCATATGGTAGTTCTATTTTAAGCTACCTAGGAACCTCCACACTGATTTCCATAGTGGCTGCACTAATTTCCATTCTCACCTACAGTGTATGAGGGTTTTTTTCCCTGCTACATTCTCACCAGCATTTGTTTTTTGTTTTCTTGATGATAGCCATTCTCACTGGGATGAGATTGGATCCCATGTAATTTTGATTTATATTCTCCTTATGGCTGAAGATATTCAACATTTTCTTATGTATTTATTGGCCATTTGTACTTCTTTTGAGAACTGTCTGTTTGGTTCATTGCCTTTTAATTGATTGGGTTATTTGTTCTTTTGCTATTTAATTTTTTTACTTCTGAATAGCTGGCAACGATTTTCTCCCATCTGTAGGCTGTCCCTTTACTCTGGTAATTGTTTTCTTAGCTGTGCAGAAGCTTTTAATTTGATGCAGTTCTCTTTGTCACTTCTTGTTATTAGCTTTTGGAGTCCAGTTCAGAAACTATTGCCAAAGCCTCTATCTTGAAGTGTTTTCTTTAAGTTTTCCTCTAGCAATTTCAGAATTTCAGGTCTTGCAAACAGGCCTTTGATCTGATTGAAATGAGTTTTTATTTTGGGAGGGGGCAGGGAGAGTGATACTTGGGTCTGAACTCCAAGCTTGTTAGGCAAGCTGTCTACTGTGGAGTCACATCTCCAGCCTGTTTCTGTGCAGCTGTGTGTGTGTGTGTGTGTGTGTGTGTGTGTGTGTGTGTGTGTGTGTGTGTGTGTGTGTGTGTGTGTATGCTTGTATTAGGGCCGACTCAGGCTGGCCTTCTATCACTTGAGCCATGCCTCCAGTTCTGGCTTTTGGTATAGATAATAAGAACTAAGAGTCTTGGAGATAGGAGTCCTTCAGATATTTCTTCCTGTGCTGGCTTTGTATCTTGATCCTTAGATTTTAGCCTCCTGGGTAGCTACTATTATAGTGAAATGGGGAGGCTGGGTCTAGCCATGTGGTGGACAGAGAATTGGGTTTCACTGGCACCATCTTGTCCTCATGGTGGAGGAAGGTGAAGTCTCACCCTTTCAGGTGATGGGTGTGCTTGAATTCCTAAAGGCAGGGTCGGGGATTTGGATGATAGGTTACTGGACCTGTCAGTCCTGTGCCTTAAACCTGTAAGACTCAATTTTCCTGTGACCCTGACCCCTGACCCTGACCCTATTTAGGCCCAGATCAGCTCCATGCCTCATTTCTCTTGGCTCTCCTTTGGTCACCCACTTTAGCTTTCCATTGGAGTTTGACCTAGTTTATTGGTATTGTTTTTCTGTTCTCTTTCCTCTCCAGCTCTCATGGTTCAGTTTTCTAAGTATATTCATGGTGCTGCAGGTCTTTGTGACAGAAGTCTGCCTGCAGACACTTGCTTTCTAATAAAGATTCCCAATTCAACCTCTCAAAATGTGGCTTCTCTGTTTCTCATGATCAGTTACCTTACAATAGTTGCTATAAACCACTAATACCTGGTCTTGCACTGCTTATTGTTTGATAAAGCTTCGCTTCCTACCCAGGTATACACCTAGACTACACTCTGCCTATTCTAGGCTTTGTGAGTCATAAGTGGGATGAAAGGCTCATGCCTCCATGGCCAACTTCTGTTGAGACAAAGTCTTGAGGACTTTCCTCTCCAAACTGGAACTTTGGTCCTCTCAATCTTAGCTGAGCTATTGGTGCTGTTTTTTCATGTTTGTTGTGACCTCAGTTGGCTATGATTATGTGGATAAATTTCTGAGTTCTGTATTTTCCATTAGTCTATGTTTTTGTGCCAGTACTATTGTTATTTTTGTTACTATGGCTGTATAATAACTTGAAATCAGATATTGTGATATCTTAAGGATTGCTTTGGCTATGATGTTTTCCATATGAATTTTGGGATGATTATTGTGTTTTTGTGCTGGCTGTGGGGCTTGAACTCAGGACCTGGGCACTGTCCCTGAGCTTTTTCTACTCAAGGCGCGTGCTCCACCACTTTGAGCTATAGTACCACTTTCAGTTTTCTGGTGGCTAAATGGAGATAAGAGTCTCATGGAAGCCGGGCGCTGGTGGCTCACGCCTGTAATCCTAGCTACTCAGGAGGCTGAGATCTGAGAATCGCGGTTCAAAGCCAGCCCGGGCAGGAGAGACCGTGAGACTCCTATCTCCAATAAACCACCAGAAAACCGGAAGTGGCGCTGTAGCTCAAGTGGTAGAGCGCTCGCCTTGAGCTGAAGAGCTGAGGGACAACGCCCAGGCCCAGAGTTCAAGCCCCATGACCGACAAAAAAAAAAAAAAAAAGAGTCTCATGGACTTTGTACCTAGCTGGCTTTGAACTGTGATCCTCAGATCTCAGCCTCCTAAGTAGCTAGGATTTACAGGCATGAGCCACTGGCACCTGGCCTTTAACATTTTTTTAAATTAAATATATTTTTATTGATATTATAAAGGTGATACACAGAGGGGTTACCATTTTATGTCAGGTAATGAGTACATTTCTTCTTGGACAATGTCACCCCTTCTGTCTCTCTGTTTTTCCCTCCTGTCCCTGTGCACAATGTGTATAGTTTATTTACAACATAGTGTCTAGTGAGTATATCTTCTAGCATCTTCACCTTCTTTTACCAACATTTTGTAGTTTTCATTGTAAAGGTTTTCCCACCTCTTTAGTTAAATGTATTCCTAGGGACTTTTGTTTTGTTTTTTAGACTATTGTGCGAGCTATTTTTTTCTAATTTCCTGAGCATTCTTTGTTACTTATTTCTGTACATTGATTTTCTGTCCTGCTACTGCGCTAAAATGTGTTCATCAGATCTAAGGATTTTCTAATGGACTCTCTAGGGTCTTTTAAGATAGGATCATATCTTCTGCAAAAAGGCACAATTTGACTTGTTTGTAACTTGCATATCTTTTTTCTTGCCTTATTACTTCAAGCACTGTATTAAGTAAGAGTGGGCAGAAGGGACATCATTGCCTTGTTCCTGACTTGAGAGAAAAATGCTTTCAGTTTACTATATATTTACTATGTATTGACTAAAGGTTTGGCATATGTAGTTTTCATTATGTTGAGGTATGAACCTTGTGTTTCTACTTTCTTTGGGTCTTTTATCGTGAAGGAATGTTGACTTCTGAGTTAGTTTATACTTACCATGGAAGCTATTTCCCCTTCAAATTTGAAGGTTAACACTACTGAATAGTGTAACCTTGGTTGACAGTTGTTTCAAGTCTAGAAATTCATCACTTTATGCTCTTCTGGCCTAAAGGGTTTCTTCTAAAGGTCTGTTATTCTGACTTTCTTTGTAAGTAACTTGGCCCTTCTCTTCTTACAGTTTTCAGCATTTTTTTCCCTCTCCTTTTCCCATGTATGTGTGTACTAGGGCTTGAACTCAAAGCCTCATGCTCTCACTTGGCTTTTGCTTAAGGCCTGGGCTCTACTTGAGCCACATCCAGGCTGGCTTCCAACCATGTTTTTCATATCTCAGTCTCCTGAGTAGCTAGGATTATGAGCCACTAGCACCCTACCAATCAACCTATTTTGAGAGTGTATAAAGTGCTGCCCTGGAGAAGTCCTGGGGGAGGCCCAGGATCTCTGCAGGTGTAGTAGCCTACAAAAGTGCTACTTTCCCAAATAGCACACAGAGTATGCTGTAAGCCCTAGAATAGAGAATGCATCCTTGAAAATAATCTTAGGCCCTGATAAGTTTCTTTTATGTGAACAACAGTTTAAAATACTTCCAGGCTGGCGTCAGTGGCTCACACCTGTAATCCTAGCTACTCAGGAGTTTTAGATCTGAGGATCACAGTTCAAAGCCAGCCAGAGCAGCAAAGTCCGTGAGACTCTGATCTCCAATTAACCACTAGAAAACCAGAAGTGGCGCCATGGCTCAAGATAGAGCA